GTATGAATACATTTGAGGACGACTGTATGAGGCAGAAACTACACATTCCACACAGGAACAGGTCAAATCTCTGATCAGTCGTTTATTGGCTGCTATGCACAGATTCGCCCGAGGAGACAGAAAACCTGCAGTTGACAGTCTGAGCAGCAGATGGATCCAAACACCTTCAGCGAACACATGCAGTGTTTCTGGTTGCAGCTCAGTCCAGGCGTTAGTGCTTCAGATGAGATGTTACTGAGGCTGAATCTGAAGTGATCACCTAAAAAAGCTGACCTGCTTTTCTTTCTACAAGTTACTTTCCAGACCTAAATGGACGCAAAAGTGCAAACTGAGTCACCCGTCTATGGAGGTTTAACGCAGCCAGCTCAGTGGCTGCCACTGACAGCAGACAGCTTGAGCTTCCCAGGATGCCCGGCTGTCTCTGTGGTTTCACAGTGAACGCCTGGACAACCAGGAAGATGAGGTCATTGATTTGATGAGCTGCTTTTCTTCCTGCATGATGAGCTGTCGTTATTGTCTCCATAAGATTGCAGCATTGTCACTTCACAGCTAATGAAGCTGAAAGTACGCAATAACAGCCGATGTGCACTTGGTACACTGACTAAACAAAGAGGAATTTGGTTCCTGATACCGGCTGATCACATACGAGCTTTTTTTTTTCTATTTAGAGGCCAAACTTGAAGTCCTTTAACATGTTTTTACAAGTGATCTGAAGGCCTGAAATAATCAACATACAGTCGTCCTCAAATGTATTCATACCCTTCCATTAAAGAAAAGGCAAAACTCACAATAGTCAGTCAAATAACTGAAAAAAGTAATAATAAATAAAAATTTGCTAAATTATAATTTAGTGAAATAAGACACTGCTTTTGAATTGTGGTTGAAATGAATAATTTAAAAAAACAAACAAAACTTTGCTGATGAGCAGTGGGCCAAAATCCAAATAGCTGTCAACAGGTGCAGAAGTCTGACTGAGAGTTACAGAAAACACTTGATTGGCTCAGAGGGTTGTTCAACTAAATATTAGTTCATGGATCCTATCATGCTTGTTTGCTTGTTTTTGTCACATATGAGAACATGTTGGTCTCAGTCTGGAGCCCTGTGTGGGCACATTGCTGTGTTATTATAACATAAGTTATAACATTATATTAGGTTATATTATATCAGGTAAATCCTATTATTTATCAGATTAGGAAACACACAGCTCTCACGGGCCACATAAAATGACGTGATGGGCCGGATTTGGCCCGCGGGCCTTGAGTTTGACATATGTGCCATATGGTGTGTTATTGTCAACTTACTTTTATTTATCTGTTTATTGATTTTCATTCCTATACTAACTTGTTATGATATGTTGATTGTACAGTGTGTTCCAGTGATCCTTGTATTTTGGGTTTGGTCACATCTTTCTGTTGTATTTTTAGGATGAAGTAATCAAAGGTTTTTAAAAACAGCTTGTCAGTGAGCCCACTGGTTCCACTCACAGTATTCAAAGTATGTTAGATTTTTATCATGGTCGGGGTGGTGAGCTGAGAGAAAGAGGCACATTCCTCTCGCTCAAGCAGTTAATTTAGGACTAGGATTTATTTTGTTGTTGTTGTTGTACTGATTTCCATTCAGGTGTGTGAACTGAACTGTCCATCTGGGAGGAAAATCCTACAGGCCCTTAACCAGAATCCTCCCTGATTGGACCAGAGCTCAGCTGACAGGATATATAAAGCCTGGACTGGTAGCAAAATGTTTTTATTCTGTGGAATATTTATTTTTTTCCCCTTTGAGAGCTCAGAGCCTGCTTTCTGGTGCTTCTACAAAAGAAAAAAAAATGACTGTGTGTTTGTGAGTAAAAACAGCAGAGCATCTTGTGCCAACTATCTGTCTCGTGATGTCCTGTGTTACTCATCCTCTGTACTGGGTCAGTGTCCAGTCCCTTTGTCTTCCAGTTGCTGTGCAGATTGTTCCGTTCAATAGCAATTGCCTTTTTATATATATAGAAAAAAAAGACTTACTTCCACCCCAGCTACAACCCAGCTTCACTAGACAAGAGCCATTTTTATGTGTACCTCTGTTGAATGCTGCTATCAACAATGTGAATTTCTCCACTGTGAGATAAATAAAGGCATATCTTATCTTATCTTATCTCATCTTATCTTATCTTTTACAATCCACAGTTTCTAAATGATTGAAATTTGTGCAAACAAGCAGGTGAAAAGAAATACAAGCATAAAACTGTTATTTAAACACCACATTGATGGATAATGTTGGACAACATTAACGTTCAAGAGTGATCCTGCAAATTATTAACAAGTAAGTCAGTGCAAAAGTGGGTGTAAATAAAGAATAAATGAATAATTAATCATGTGTTGCTTTTTTGTCATTTCTGTTCTGGCGATATAATTTACACACAGGCTGCAACGATTGTCTGTTGTTGATTATTATGGTCTTGATTAATCAGCGAATTGTTTGGTCTATATATGGCAGAAAATGGACTAGCATGTGTATCACTGTTTCCTAAAGCCAAAAATGACGTCCTCATATGTCTTGTTTTGTCCACAACCCAATGACGTTCATGTTTCTGTCACAGAGGACGAAAGAAACTAGAATATATTCAGTTTTAAGACACTGGTATCACACACTTTTTTACTTTTTCCCCCTGAAAAATTTACTTAATTGAACCTTCTGAAAACCCAAAACTCAGCAGGTTTTACTACATGTTGTTGTCATTAGATTACCAAAATACCATCATATATCAGAAACTGTACAAACAGAGAGAATCACTGGATCTTCAGCTTTCCAGAGCTTCATTCCTTGAACTAATCATGTGTGACGTGTGGTTCCATCTGGAAAGATGATCAAATTTAATCTTAGAATTGTGAAAGTTCATCAAAATAAATCACTCCGTTGTGTTTTTAAAAACTGGTAAATATAGTGTTTGCAGTAACTAGACTGTTGGACAGATGTCCTTCTACTGAGTCTATGATTGACGTCATTGCGCTGCGCCAATGACGTCGGCACGCCTGCCACGTCATACAGCGGGGCTGGTGCCAGGCGGAAGCGGCGGCAGAGAACACCCACATAGTTCAGCTTCATGATGTAGCTGAGCCTCATTCAAAACCACTAGACCTGCCCGCTTTCACTGGACGTTGCCTCAGTGTGGGGTTTCAGCTGGACCGTCTCTTGCTGTGCGGGTTTTATTGGTGAGTAGTTACCTGGTAGCTAACTAGTTAGCTACTGAGCTAGTGAAGTTACAGCTCTGTCGCTAGCTTGACTGGATTGTTTTGCCTACGAGAAAGTGGCCTCGTGTAGTTTGTTTTTTGAAGGGAGACACGAGAAAACTCAGACGCTTTACATGTAACGCTAATTTACTAATTGCTTAGCGAACTAACAAGGTGAGGCTAGAGACGACGGTCAACATTGGTCGCTAATGTTATGTTGCTAGCCAAAGCACAGTGAGATGATGATAATTAGTCACTATGAGCAGTTTGGTAAATGTTACACAAGGTACTGCGGGAAATAATTATTCCATTTGGCACTTCCCAGGTCAATGAACCTAGATTTCCCTACTCTATAATCTCATAGTCTCAGTTTTCTTATTTATGGTTGTTCAGGGAGTGCTCAGTAAAGTGTCACTGGGGTTTGCTGCCATGGAAATGAGATTTCAGTTTAAGTGGAAAGTCCTATGAAAAAAAACCCCTCAGTGTTACAGTCCCACCAACAGGACTCTCGGTGTTCCCTGCTGGCTCTGCTCTATGAATAGGCGTGTGTTGGGATAGGCCCATCTCATGTTACATATCCTGGACAGAGGCTGGGTCCCATCCTGGATAGAGAACAGGAATGAATGAATGCTAAACAGTGGAGTCATGACACAGTGTGTTGTAAGAGAATGCTATTTTAATTTCTGGATGGGTGTGCCCATGTACTGTATACGACAGCTGGTTTATCAACTACCAGAACATCGCAGTAATGACAGCGTTTTACCAAATGAAGTTGTATTTGTCAGGTCAAAGTTCTCTGTGACTCTGAACAAACATATTTGTGACACAGGCTGAAGATGTTAACTCATTGTGTGGATGAAGGATCTTAAATCAAACCAACTTGTGCTGTACTACTTTTTTAGGTGTGCGTCCGTGTCCTTACTTCTCTGTATGCGTGTCTGTTTCCAAGGAAGAGATTGTGGAATGCTGCTGGACGAGACTCCACTTTTTGAGCCCTCTCTGCTTCAGGAGCTCGACTGGAGTAGCAACACTGTGTCCTTCTCTCCACCCATCTCCCCGTCCAATCCAGGGGAGGGCCTGGTTCTCAGGCCGCTCTGTACAGCAGATTTCAATAGAGGTGAGTCTGGATGTGATACTTCAGTAAAATACCTGTATTATCAAATGAATATGAAGAAAAGAACCTGAGCCATTTACAGTTTGTAGGATGGAAAATGATTTTCACTCCTTGGTTTTAAATTTGACAGATGTTACTACTTTGCTAAATATGTAAAACTCACAGTTTTACAAAGTTGAAGAATTCTCAGGATTTGACGTGAAATCCAGTTATTGTCACCAACTCTTCTGTTGTTTTGAATTCCAGGATTCTTCAAGGTTTTATCTCAACTCACCAAGACAGGCGATGTCACACCAGAGCAGTTTGAAAGTAAGCCACGCTTAATGCTACTTTCAAATAAGACAAAAGGGAGATTGTTTAGAACATTAACCTTTATCACAGTTTGAATTTAAATCTCAAAGCCTTTCTATTTTTTTTATAGTTGTACTTCACGCCGAAATATTTCTGCTTGTGCACATCATATCGCACATTTTAGACGGAGAAAAACTCCTCATCCAAGAACACAAACCATCATAATGAAATATCAATGACCATTTAATTATGTTGTGTTTCCAGAGAAGTTTGAGCACATGAAGAAAACAGGAGACTACTACGTCATTGTGGTGGAGGACACAAATCTGGGACAGATTGTCGCCACGGCCACGCTGATCACCGAGCACAAGTTCATTCACTCTTGTGCTAAGGTATATGACACTCAGCAGACAACTTGTGTAATTAACAGGGAATAGAATCGTAACTTCCTGCATTTTCCTTATCTCTAATGAATAAGTTACTCATTAATGTTGTGGTGTAATGGTTATTAAAGGCCATGGGTTAATTATTAAACCTGTTTCATACTGTAAAAATGAAAGGTAAATTTTGAATGAGTGAAATGATGATCCTGTCTGTTTCATTTTGTCTGCAGAGAGGCCGGGTGGAGGAGGTGGTAGTCAGCGATGTGTGCAGAGGGAAGCAGCTGGGGAAACTGTAAGACATATTGCTTTAACTTTTTTTTTATTTACGACTTTGTAATTCTTCAACAGACATGAACATTATTTTTACAAGAGACTCCCTGTCACTATTTTAAACTCTCCTCCTCTCTACTTCCTCCCTCCAGGTTAGTCTCAACTCTCACTCTTCTCTGCAAAAAACTGGATTGCTATAAAATCACTCTGGAATGTGCGCCTAAAAATGTGGCTTTCTACCAAAAGTTTGGCTACAACGCTTCAGACGAGACTTACATGCAGTGTCGATTTTTCGACTGAGGACGACGGAAGCTTTAAACCCCAGTTTTCGGGGCGTGGACCATATCTTTACACACCGACTGTCAGCAGAACTTGTTGTGTACGTCTTAAGAATCGGGAGGAAGAGATGTGACACAGCTGAAACGTCCCTGAACGCTCATTGTGATTGCAATGCACTTGATAACTGTACATGAAGCTCGGTCTAACACCGTCATCCGCCCCCTTTGGTAACCATGACTACCTCACCAGGGTAGATCATCTTCTCATCCGTCATAAGAAAGAAATGTCAAGTCATTATTAAGTCTTATTTTGTTACACTGCTAACAAGTCATTTGCTGTGTACTGACAGTAAAAATACATGAATGTGTTGCTAGAGTACAGCCGGAAGTAAATCCAGCTGTGTTGAAAATCAAGATGGTACCATAATACCAGCTACATAATTAAAATAATTCACTAGAGGCAACAGCTTTTCACACTACAAAACCAAATATGCTTCAAGAATTTTACTGTACACCATGATTCAAGTTTCTCTGACAGATCTCTGTCACCAAAGAAAAGCAGCGTTTTCTTTTCCGTTGAAACTTTTGTAAGAGGTTTTTGGTTTCACTTGGGTTTTTCTAATATCTGTCGGTACAAAGTGCTCTCTACCCCAACAGGCCTTCCTCTCTCTGACAAGCTGTGTTACTGGATAACTGCAATGAAGTTATAAAAGACATGAAGAATCACAATCAAGACTGTTATAATGTAAAACATTTCCCGTGAACAAAACACATGTTTTGTGAGGCTTCGGTCCGAACATGAACGCAAGGCTTGTAAAGTTTTGTATCTGGTCGTCAGCTGGGATGAGGATGCAAGCATTTTGTAATGGGAAATGGATGAGTGATTTTTGTAAATCATCTCTTATTTAAGCTTTTGTAGTTAAGTTTTATAATTATACGGTTATTTGGGGGAACAGGGGGACATATTTAATGTAATTTATTTCCAGAAGTCAAATAAAATATTCTATGATCAACTGGTTTTCTTTTGTTAGTAGATGTACAGCTAATGAGTGAAAAATGTACTACAAAGCGATGGTGGGAGAAGTTTTTAAGATCCTTCAGTTGAGTAAAAATACTCCATAAGGCCGGCATTGAATTCTACGAAAGTAAAGGTACTGATTAATCCCTCTGATTATTATATGGGACATTATTAGATTATTGATAGTGAAGCATCAGTGAGTCTGCAGCATGTTGTAGCTGCTGCAGGTGGAACAACTTTCCACTGCTTTATATGTAGTTTCTGAAAATCTGAGGTATCATCACATGATCAATGTGGGAGGAAACCAAGCTGGTACGCACCTGTTTCAGTTTTACTTCTTCTCTTTGATTTTTGGTGACGTGGAAATGGAAAAGTGTAGAGCTTTGAGGAAAAAAAGACTATTCAGTGGAGCTGTTAACTGAACTGTTACCTCGACTACACACAGCTTTTCGTAGGACATCAGAAGCTAAAAAAAAAAGTTGGTGTGATCTTTACCAATGTGTTGTATTTTGAAAGCTTCTTATGTTATCGACTGCGTAAAATCGTCACATTAAAGTAACAAATGCTGTTGGGGAAATGTCGTGGAGCAGAAGTACACAAGTAGCTCAAAACTGTGCAGTGCTTGATTAAAGGTATAGACTTTGCTTCCTCTGGTCCATGTTCAGTGTGATACACAGCGTGTCACCAAACAGCACAGTGACTACCTGTAACCCTATAAACAGGCCGACTGACTGGTTACAAGTTTGTAGACACCTGTGATGCTAATTAGAGGACACACCTTGATTGAACATGTTCCTATAGTCACATTATTTTCAGTCTTTTCTCGGGGTACCATCATTTTTGTCTTTTTTACAATAATTCTGTTAAACCTCAGTTCAAAAGCAATGTCTGATTTTCATTGGTTAGTTTTCATAGAATTTTTATTTATTATTGCTTTTGTCAGATTCAAGTCATTTCTGTGACCGTCGTGGGTTTTTCTTTCATTAACCGAGTGGTACCAACAGTTTTGTCCACGTGTACTTGGTTTCTTTCCACAGCTGTTAGAAAGCAGATTCATGTTTTAGCTCAAGCGTGACTTGAGGTATTTGTTGAAGCTCTGTTGCACAAACAGGAAGTTATGGGTTGGGCATGTGTGTACTAGTCATAATGAGAAATTCTAACCACAAGTCTAAATGCTCTGATGAATGCAACTGGACCAGCTCTGGTTAGTTGAAGATGTTTCACCCGTCAAAGCTTTTCTGAGGCTGAGAATCTTCACAGATTTCTATCCAGAGTTAAAACTGATTAACATGAAGCCACATCCTATAAACTTGAAATCCTTGTGAAGTGTGATGATTTTGTAGCAGACAAGTACAAATACTTCATTACTGTACTTAAGTAGATTTTGCAGGTATCTGTTCTTTACTTCAGTATTAATTTTTCTGTCGACTTTTTACTTTCACTCCCTACATTTGAACACAAATATCTGTACTTTCTACTCCTTACATTCTCAAAACTGGCCTTGTAATTGTTTCAGCCTCTGCGAATGACGACATGACGTAAAAGACATAACAACAAACGTCTTTATCTTCTGTCACTGAAGCTCAACACAGCCCTGCCTGCCTCAGCTGCCTGCCGGAGGCTTTATAGCACTGCAGGACTGATTTTCAGACCCAAAAGGGCCCCTGTTCATCCAAAGAACCTTGAGAACCAGCTTCTGCTGAGGCTCAATGAAAGATTTTGGTAGTCTTGAAGAGACAAGTGTTTCCATGTTGACTATAATGTTTATTATGTTGCTGGAATGGAAAAGTGTCCAGTGATGATTTTATTCTAAGCTGACTTTAAACCTGTTCAGGACATTTTTCCCACTATATACTACATCCTGATGCGTTTTCAGGACATTCTGAAACGTGACC